GGGGGGTTTCACGTTACCTATGCCCTGTCCAGCTCACTGATGTCATTGGTTGACAGGAACTGGGCAGGACACCAGCCAGAGCACCTGGCAACCAATGGTATCAGTAAGCTTGGAGCGGTGCCGGCCAGAGCATCACAGGTTGCTTAGAGCTCTTAGCTCTTGGCTGGAAAGAGCCAATGTGACCCAATGAGATGCCGCCTGAGGCAACCACCTCAGGCTGCCTCATTATAGGGACATCCCCTGCCCTTTGCTGTATCTATAATGTAGCAGTGTTGTCACCCTAAGTCAAAACTAGAGAACAATATCCCATTATCATCCCCATAACATGGGGAGGGGGTGTTTTGTAGTCCCTAGGGAGAAAAGGTAACAGTAAGTACCTGAATGTGACCTGGTGTCAGCTTTTTGCAGTCCTTATACAGCACGGCTGGAGCGTGAGATGAAAAAGCAGCACAACGAGTCGTGTGCTGACAAGAAGTGTGCAGATAGGAAGAGAAAGCAGAGTGACAGAGAGATAAGCCCATCACTATGCTGCTTCTCCTTTCACTGTCCAGTCACAGGCTGGGGGTGGGTCCAGTATGACCTGGGCTCAGCTGAAGTTGGTTCAGTGATGTTGGCCATCAGACTGAGGACATCTATTGGGGGGAGTCTTTGAACTGAAGCTGAATGTTGCCGCAAAATCTGCATTTAATGTAAATCTATTGGGCTAGCCAATGTTATCTTGGTATTTTTGGCTGGGGTTCTGCTTTAAATCTAGATACGGCCTGGCAATAAGCATTTCCTAGGAGAGGCCAGCTACCTAGTACAGGCTTCCTTTAACTAATAGGACTACCTCTGCTGCACCCACATCCGTGCCGCTCGCTGTTAGCGTCCAGACCAGAAACTCTGTAGTCAGTTGGCAGCAGGGGAACAATGTTGCAGAAGAAAGTTGTGAAGTCTTTGCTGAAGGTCTGACACTGCAGCAAGCGGCTCACACATGATGTATTGTTCAGTCAGCGGAGATGAACTGCTTCCTTCACTCACCGCACTCTTCTGATTTGTATTCCAAGGCCGCAGCCGGCGGTCTTCCCCTCGCTGTGCAGCTTGCAGGCGGACCACGGCTCAGACACCCACAAGTACTGATTGCATTCGGTATAACAGGGGACTACTTCGTACACCTGTCAGGAGACACAAAAGGAGATCTGCATAAATCAGTCTCATCAGAGTAAATGGTTGTCGCACAAAAAAAAAACCCGACACGCCCGCTGGAAATATGGCTTATGTGTTCATCTCTGTGCTGAATACAATAAAAATATAAACGGTGCACAAAGCTGCAAGGAACATCTCTAGTGTTAGTCAGTTACCTGTAATATGTGCCCTTATACACATAGGTTGCCTTGAAGGGGTGACAATGGTCTAAAATTGAAGTAAAATTAAATTTTTAAGCTATGGATAGAGTAAGTGTGTGTGTGTGTGTGGGGGGGTGGGGGGGGGGTTATAACCCCTCAGCTTTTCTTTGCCATCAGTGTCCCATTGGGGATATGTCCCTTAACTTCCTGTCTGATAGCCACAATAGGAAGTGAGAGGAAACCTCTCCAAGGTGAGGGAAATATATGGTGGTCCTCAGAACTAGTGTCCCCATTGGAATATTTCCCATCTATTCCTGTTCTGGTGACAACCCAAAATGTGGGATTTTCTTTTACTTTCAATGATAACGGTCACCAGGACAAATGGAGAGGGTGAATCTTTCTAAAGGGGACACAGGCAGCAATAAAAACCCGACGGCGTTCTAATTCCCGTCCAGTCTATCCAAAAAAAAAAGGTTTTGGCTTCAGTTACACTTCACGTCATTGCTTCTGGGCAAGTCATCCTAGCCCACAAGCCAGCTGGGCAAGGAGGACTTAGTTGTTGAATGATTGTTCTGATAATGTTAAGTGCGATTTTGCACTGCGGGGGAGGTGGAGGCACTGCGGGGGCTGGCCGGTCTCGGAGGGAAACAACAGTGTTTGGCCAGGTAAGTCCGTCCCAGATGTTGTTCTATGATCTAGAGCTAGAATTAAAGAGCCACAACATCATCAAGATGCCCAATACGTTTTGGGGCTGAGACAAGCCCCTTCCTCAGGGCTTTTAGGCTGGATTCACACCTGAGCGGGTTTTTTATGCTCGTTTTTCCGCTTCTTTTTTTTCCCGCATTTTTTTTGCATTTTTTCGTTCAATGAAACACGCGTTTCACTGGCGGTGTAATTTTTTTCCCCCTTTATTTTCTATATTTAAAAAAATAAAAAAAATTTAAATTTCACTTTTAAACTTCCCGCCGGCTCCGCCCCCCTGCGATGCGGCTGCTCGCAAGGGACGGAACCCGGAAGTCGGCAGCCGCCGAAGACACAGTGGGGATCGCGGACAGGGTAAGACCTGTACGCTGTATTCCCGTGTGTGGCTCGGGGTTACTGCTTTGTTAACCCCGATCCCCAATCGGGTGCTCGCAAGGGACGGAACCCGGAAGTCGGCAGCCGCCGAAGACACAGTGGGGATCGCGGACAGGGTAAGACCTGTACGCTGTATTCCCGTGTGTGGCTCGGGGTTACTGCTTTGTTAACCCCGATCCACACTCGGGAATACCAATGGAAATGCGTGGCAAAACGCCCCAAAGAAGCTCCTGTACTTCTTTGGGCGTGGGGCTTTTTGCAGCGCGTTCCTACACGCTGTAAAACGCCCAGGTGGGAACCAAGCCCATAGGCAATCATTGGTTTTCACATGTTGAGCGTTTTACAGCGTGTAGGAACGTGCTGTAAAACGCTCAGGTGTGAACCAGGCCTAAAAGTGACGCTAAACTCAGGAGTTAAATCTTAGAAATTAATTCAAGTACTTTAACTACTGTATTAATAAAATGTATCTTATTTGTGTATCACTCGGCTGTAGATACTCAAACCATCTCTGAACTGGTGCTGACACTGTCCTTCCTTCTGGAGGGGGGCTATAGTCCCCGTGTGTGCTGAAAAGTAGTCACTGCTCCAAGCTCATTTCCATGAAGGACTACAATCTCAGGTTTGGTTTACTAATTTGTATTGAGATTGCAGTCAATCACTGGAGCGAGATTGGAGCCTTGGCTAGTTTACAACACACGCAGGGACCATAGGGAACAAAAGTAGCCACCCTCCGGAGAAGGGAGAGAACAGAGTATGTAGACTTGGAAATGAACAGATTCTTTAATATAAAATATGGTTTGTCATTTGGAACAAAGGCGCGTTAGCAGCTGGTTGTAGCAGCCGCGTTCTATGATTGGTAACTAGCACCATGGTACTAGAAGAGTAATGTAATACTTTTGCCATCGATCTGTAGGCAAGCTGCATCATGTGCTCCGTTTTATATATGTCAGTACCTATGTGTGAAATACCTCCAGGCAGAATGTTCAAGTATTGCTTATATTACCACACATACAAAGTTCAAGAAAACTGCTGCCTGGGGAATTGATCTGCAATCACTCTAAAGATCGAGTGCAGGAAGAAAGGAAGAGAACTGGGAGGTTTATTAGATAAATATTAGATAAAACTCAATACAGAGGTCAAACTGTATTAACTGCTCATGGCAGACTGATCACTGTATTGTGTTTTATCTATAACATTTTTCTGGTTCTCCTTCTTACCTCCTAGACTTGATCTTGATATGTACCTCTGTTACAAAGCCCAATCATAGTGTCCCACTCGCCCTTATGGATCGTCAGTTCCCATTATGCCTGATTACCCCGACCATTACAAAGCCAGGTATGGTGTCACACTTTCCCTGATGGATTCTCATTCCCAGTTTTTCTCAACTTCCACAGCCATTGCAAAGCCATATAATGATGCCACATTTTCATTGTTACATAGTTACATAGTATTTGAGGTTGAATAAAGACGCAGGTCCATCAAGTTCAACCTATTGCATATATACATGTGAGTCTGCATGTGTATGCGTGTGTACGAGTCCATGTGTGAGCTTGTTTTTAAGTGTACCTGCACCCCTGTATGTTACGGTCTCTGAGGAAATTGCCCAAATGCTTTTTAAATGATTCAACACTCTCTGCTGAAACCACTGCTTGCGGCAGCAAGTTCCAGACCCTAACTGCTCTAACTGAGAAGAAGCCCCTACGCCCCTTGTGCTTAAATCTTTTCTCCACCAGTTTTAGGTGGTGGCCTCGTGTCTTTGTTATGGGGTTTACCGTGAAAAGTTTATTGCTGATGTTGCTATCACCATTGAACATCTTGTACATTAAAATCATGTCCCTCCTTAATCTCCTCACTTCCAGCGTGAACATGTTTAAATTTAGTAACCTTGTCTCTGACCCTCCATACCCCTAATTAGTTTGGTTGCCCTTCTCTGGACTCTTTCCAGCTTGAGGACATCCTTTCTGTGGATTGGTGACAAAAACTGGACCGCATACTCCACTTTCACCTACGCATTTTCAATAATGCACCATAAACAACTTACTGGGGAGTCTAGCTGCAAAGAGAGTGGCAACACTGTTATATCCTTTAAGTGTAAGAAAATATTGTCAATAAAAACTCACCATTGGAACGAGGGATGCAAGAAAATGGCGGGTGATTCAACTCATCAGTGATCGCCCCAAAAACAAAATAATCAGCTACATAAGGAGTTAACCTTTAGTCAAGGCAAGTGGACACCACAAAGGCTATGATGAACGTATACCACTGGGTGGAAACCACATATCAGGAAATGTTGTTTTACAAAGTAAATAATCAAATTTGCTAAGCGGAAAAGTATTTTCAAATCCTTAACCATATTTCTATCTCGCCTCAATGGAGGTAAGCCTGATAGATTTGTTCAATATGTCACACTGGATGAATCCTTCAGATGTTTACTGAGTGAAAACTTTCCCTCTGCACCCAACAGGATGTTGATTTACAATCTAATCATGAACACAAAGGAACTTCAATTGTCAGTCTAAAACATCCTGTAAGGGATTCAGAAAGGCAATCAGGTTGTATTTCACTTGATGGAAACCCGTGACAAGTGATGGTTTTCCAAGACAAAACAAATAATTCCTAGTAGATGTTAAACGCCTGGAAAGCTGGAATCGAATAGGACATTTACATATTTCACATTTCTGATCCATCTAGTGTGTGAAATCTGTTTGTGATAGTTGGATGTTTTGCTCTTGCCTCTAGATGTGAGCTCTTTGAAGCTCTCGCAGCATTAACAACCATCTTTAACACTTCAACATCAATTAAAATGCACTTCAGCCCACTTTGTATTGCAGACAGGAGTCGGACCCCCAGATCTGACTTCCCAACTAATACAATTCAAAATGGTTAAGAGTTGTGTTCTCTTCACCCCCCACACCTCCAATGGGGTGACAACCATCAATAATAGAATCAATGCAGATGCCTAAGTTTCACATCTCAAGATGACCATACCACCATTGTGCTTGAACCCCCTGGTTCTTAACTGGTGGGTCGTGACCCCGTGTTCAGTGGGTCACCGCATGCCTTCCACTTTTCTAGGTGAGAGGCTCCTCAGCCTCCCCCTGGGGCAGCACTGTCAGTTCTCACACCAAGCAGCCATTCAAAATATGCTGCCTGGTTCCAAGTGTCAGCTTGAGGTGGGGTGGGCCGGGGCTGTGGCCGCAAGGCAGCTCCGCAGGGCACGCAAGGAACTGTACAGGTACAAGCAATGCACATATGGATGGAACTCCATCACAGCACAGCAGCCCACACTGGACCCCAGGTTGAGAATTCCTACAGTTCTTGTAAGATATGGAGACTGGATGGAGCTTTAAAAAAGAACACAAATTGATTTTTTGTGTGTATGTGAGAATGTCTGTGTGTGAGATTATGTCTGTTGTTGTGTGTGTCTGTCAGTGTTTTTTTAGGGCCCATTCACACTAGTACAGTGCCTTAATTGCACAGTCCCGTGCAATTAACACACCTTACCACGCAATCGTACCTACCACGCATTTTGGTGTGGGATGTCTGTTGCATTGCCATTAATTTGAATGGCACCCCAAACGCACCTCCCACCCACAGTTCGATCGGCCCGCACCGGAACGCACAGTACCACAATGCGGTGCGACTTGGGTCACGACTTAATGACCAAGGACAAATGTGGGTCCTGAGGTTACACAGGTTGAGAACCACTGCTTTAACAATACCTGTGGATTGACCGAAATTAGAGCCGTGGG